ATGTCCGCCTTTTCCGTTTTTGAGTAACTAACCCGCATACTGAAGCCACACGTGTGTTCTGTGGTAGTACAGACGTATGCCAATGATGAAATAAGAAATTTGTAATGATGAAATAAGAAATTCGTAAAGGGTGAGACAAATATAACCACAGCTGCCTATAACGTTTAGAGTAAAATTCTCAGAACCACCAAGCAATTTGTGTGGACGGTGGTTCTACAGACATAACAAAATTACGGGTAACGGTAAAGTGCCGTGTTTGAGGAAATAGTCACTGCAGCGAAAGCCCACCACGGAACCTTATGTTTAGATGGGGAAGTCTCAGCGAGCGAGGACCGTCTAAATTTCCACATTCTCGAACCCACGTCAGTAAGGTGTTTTCTGATGTCTTCCCTAAAGATATTTTGACTAACAAATACGGTAAGGTAAGAGTAATAAGCAGGAGCTCTTTTAGCGTTCTCATATTTTGTTGGAATCTCTCAACAATGGAACTTCAGAGTACTACACAACTCCGTACCTGACTCGTCAAATTCTCCTCCGCAGGCAAGGTGTCTCTCAGAGCCAGAAGAGCATGTCGAATTAAATCATCGGCACTAGCTAAATTGATAATTGCAACAAACAAGTACAGAAACAGCATGCGAAAATCTAACCAGGAAAGGTCAACAGGTCAGCCTGGCCATTTGCAATGAGATGCACATCGTTGTACCCGTCTTGAGACGGTGAACTCAAAACTATCTTCAAAATTTGCGGAACGATTCTCTGAGCGGAGTTAGAGAGGTTTTTCTTTACTGTTTTTCTTCTTACGGGCGCGCTGGCGCCGAAGCGTTGGCACATGTAGCGCGACTCACAGCGCTCTTCGCGCAAAACAGGTATCATATTCGTGTTCAGGGGGTCAAATAACCCCTAGGGACGTCACCTTAGCGAAATCTGAGGTTCTGACTCAACTTCGAAAAAATGGGGTATGGATAGTCATGGCTGACTGATAGCCAACAGCGATACTATGACTAGCATACTGGTGATGACTGGTCTTCGAACTGAAATAACTCTTCAGTCATGTCTTTTCGCAAACAACAGTACCTGGCTTACTTATTTGTGCCGTCTGCATCATTTTCTTGACTATCGGGAGGAAATCCCATTCCGAGACCAGTCATCGATGGTAGGTGAGCTCCAATCTGCTGCTAATTACCCATGGAATAGCCCACATTTTCCAAGTGAGGTCGAAATATCAGATTCGGCTAGAAACTTGTCCCCAGGGGTAACAACCTGAACATGAATATGATGGTATTTCATTGCAAAAACCCTTGTGACACGTGTTACGAGGGGTACAAGCAGAAGCACTCTTTCAGGCCACAATGAGTCTACACTTTAAAAAAAACTGATCGCAGGTTCCCTTATAAGGTAGTGCAGGCGAGCAGAGATGTTAGAAGCTTTGTCGGCTATGTTCTTGGACAAATGCAAAAAAGGACCTGCCCCGGAACCGATCCTACGACGTCTCGCCTAAGAAACCCGCTCCCTACCCGTTGCGCTCTACTACCACGTTTCAGATGACTCCATACATAAATGTAAAGACGCTTCCACGTTTCCTCGCGATAGCATGTGAAACGACCACGCGGGGATAAGACCCTCCATAACTCCGTCAGAGAATCGTTCCGCAAATTCTGAAGGTAGATTTGAGTTCACTGTCCCAAGACGCGTACAACGGTGTGCAGCTCATTGGAAATGGCCAGGCTGACCTGTTGACCTTTCCTGGTAAGTGAAAATTATTGGGAGGAAGCATGACTGCGTAAAAAACGGTAAGTGAAAATTATTGGGAGGAAGCATGACTGCGTAAAAAAATTGTAAGCCCCTTGCGCAACTTGCGCAATACAGCTAGAAAGAAGAAATTATTCGACTCTTTGAGAAGGTATCTCGTAAATTTTACCTTCCCTAAATTTGTCCAAGTGCCTCTCCAAGTAAGTGCGCGCTGATTGCGATCTGGCACCGATGGATGATGCGAACATTTCCACAACCTCTGCTGATGGATCCGACTGCACAATGTGTGTACCATCTTTCTGCAAAAAGAATGCCTACCTCATGAGAAGTGAACAATAGTAATGCAACACATTTATTTTAAAATACAAGAAAAGCTAGTTAACACAAACAAGTAGCAGGAAATGTTGTAAATCTCACATCGTATCCCGCAATTAATAAGCCGACTCCAAAGGGTCGCCGACCATAATATTGAGTGTTGGCCTGTAGTTCTAAAAATAAGAAATGAATGAAAGCACGCAGTAGGAGTCCGTCCTTACTTCGCATCAGCGTTTAGAGCGTACAGCAGCGTTTTGAGCGACTAGCAATGTATAGATATGGACCTAACGTTTCGACAGCATGCCAGCGTACGCTAGCGTTTTTGCGACTAGGAAAACCTAGGTATCGACCCGACTTTTGGGCGTACACTGGAATACGCTCAAAACTCTGATGCAAAGTACGGACACATTCTGACAAATTTTGCAGGGCAATATGAATATTGAATCAACCGTATAGCTACGACCTCAGTTTGAAACATGAAGAAAATGCTACTCACTGAGTTGTACACTGTCTGCCAGCGAAGAAATAGGCACAGGCAACTTGTAATCCCATCGCCAGCTGGAGCACTCTGTTTGGAGGAACCT